GAAGGAAGGAGCAGCAGAGACAACGACCTCTTATGCTTCATATGGACTTGTTTTTTTCTTTTTGGCATAGCTTGCTATAAGGACATGTCCTGGGCAGGCCCATTCAAAGCTGTGTCATTCTCTCTGATCCTGGGTGCCCCCTAACTCCCCTCTTTCTCCCAGGAGTCACACCCCGGTCTCCTTCTGACAAAACACTGCTTGAGGATCGAAGAAGTGTACCATATTCACACGGGTGGGAATATTTTTCTAAGCATCACTCACTCTTCACCACTGTCTGCATACATTCTCTGTAGGTTAAAATTCCCTTGGCAGAGCTCCGAGCGTCTCCCAAAGGCTCAGTCACTCTCCACTGGGCTTCCTCCAGGGAAAGCTCCTATATCCCACTGAGGAAGATTTTCAAGCAAGCCTTTCCCACGAGAGGGACCTGCTGCCTTTCAAAGAGGCACGGGATTGCTTTTTCAAGAAAAGGCAGGCACTTCCCTTATCCACCTGCCTAGCATAATGTGCTCGGCCCTGAGCAGCCAGTACACAGCTCATACTCCCTCTTTCGATAAGCTCATGAGCATCGGGATCAAATGGGTTGGGTAGGTACTGCTTGTCTCAGAAATGCCAGTCTGCGGGCCGAACACGCCACAGCGCTAGCCAGGCGCAGAGACATCTGGGAACCGTAACAACCAGCAAGCAGCGTTCCTTAAACACTTGCACGGATGCTGAAGATCACGTGAGCAACAAGAAGGAAGCACCCGTAGCCTGCAGTGCTTCCTGCAGAATGAATTCTAGCAACAGGAAGCATTTTGGGGATAGTCTCTCTGTCACGCAGACCTGCAGGTAAAAGGAAACCCATCTGCAAATTCCTTATTAACATTTTTTGTATTCGTTACTGCTATTCCATTGGAATTCTAGGAAAACTTACCCTTACTAAACTCTGGAGACATTTGTGAAGTCTGCCCTTTGAGGGGTCAGCCTGTAAATCTCTTTCTTCTCTTGCTGTTCCTCAGCTCAGCTGCTCTGGTATTTATCCTTGCTGCGAGCAGTGCAGGACAGGCAGAAGGAAGAGGAAAGGGAACAGGCTTTGACTGGCTGCCAAGACATGAACTTAGAGTACAGCTAACATGGGTTTTATTCCCTGCTTCGTCACTCCAGTGCAGATTTCTCTCCATCTTAATTCCCATCCCTAAAAGGGGTAATTCTTACCTAACATGCACTGGTCTATGTAACCCCCTAGCACTGTGAGGCACCACGGTATTTAAATGTAGAATATATGAACATCAACAGAGCTGTCTTCTTGTCTACCCCTTTGCCTTGAGGTAGGGCAAACTAAACCACTTCGAAAATATTCGATGAATTTGTAATATTAAGGCTGCGTAAAGATTGAAGCCGCACAACCTGCCTAAATGCATCGTTCTGGTGCTTATCTGCTCCACTCGGATGTTTTACACATCTTGAACTGCACAGCCGGTTTTTAATTCAGAAGTAGCTCAGCCCGAGTTGAAATGAGCAGGATGTGAAAGGCAGCACGAAAGGCTTCTGTAAATACAGCAGCGGCAAAGAGGAAAGGAAAACAAAGGAAAAGGCACGTCTGCTGCTCAATGTGGCATGGGACCCAGAAAAGACAGACATGAAAAAAGGCCAAGGTACCCAGTATCTTTTTTCTCTTTCAGAGTTTTGGGCTCCCCCACGCAGTAAGACAGCAACCTACGGGAGCAGGCCCAGCAGACCACCACCAAGATGATCAGGGGGTGTAAGTACACAAGGCAAAACGAGAGGCTGAGCACACTCAGCCTTAAGAACAGAAGGTCTTACTGCTGTCTACAACTACCATCCAGGAGGGCAGAAAGAAGACAAGAGCCACACGCTTCCTGGAGGTGCAAGGGGATATAATTAGAGTGAACTGCCACTTGTGGAACAATGGACATTCTGATTAGATACAAGGATGGCTTATTTATGACCCTGAGGATAGCGAAATACAGAAACAGGATGACGACAGGTGTGGTATCTCCACCTGATGAGAGACTGAAAACTTGACTGGAACTCCAGAGGCCTCTTCCAGCCACCCTTCCACAATTCTGATTTACAATTCTACTTCGTGACTCATAGCAAAGACAGCTGCAGAGCAACGAGAACATGTCTCTCCAACTTCCAGTAGATCCCTAACTGGTGGAATGTCTCCACTCCAACAAACATGCTCTATATTTACATTTAAACTGCTGTATCAGGACAGATTTCTACAAAGAACACAACCTTCTACTACAGACGTAATGCTTTGGCAAACAACTAAGCAAAATGAAAGGTATTTCTTTTTTCTTGAGTACAGGAGACAGGATCAAAAAGCCTTCGGTATTATAACCTTCCAGCAAAGGAAACCATGTTCACAACAGCGATCTGGTATCAACATACTTCATCAAAGCCTTTCCCTATCACTAACAACAGGCAGAGTAACATCTGTGCAAGCCAGTTGGCTCTGGACAGCTCCTGTGGTTCTTGAAAGACTATTTCTTGGCAGGTTCTGTTTTTTCTTTTAATTGAAAGGTTAATCAAATCAGTCATACTTGTATGTTGGCTAAATAAACACACTGTCTCCACTGATGATGAAACAGATGCATTAACGCTCACGTTTCCCACGGGGTTCATTTGTTCCATGATTGCATTCGGTTTTCTTCGAGTTTCTCTATGCACTGACAGCGTGTTGGATAGTTTTCATAAGGAAATTTACCTTTCAGATGCTACTGCATTCATGTCTCTCAACTCCAGCCTTTGGCAAAGGTGTTATATATCCTAAACACTGCTTGCCTGCGGAAAACGTGGAAGAAGTTAATCCTAAAGAAGGTGAGAACTCTTACTGAGGCATAAATGCATTGTTGGGTCTAGCAGTTCATGTTGCCAAGGCAGGACCTGCTAACACATTCCAACCTGGTTTCTCTCTGCCTCTCCTCCCTCAGCGCGAGGTTTCATTCCGCAGAAAGCTGTTTGAGCAGGTCGTGGGTAGCTTTTAGAACCCAGTCCTGCCAACTCACATGCCCTGCGTTTGATTCCACGCAGAGTTAAACGGCGCCACCGACTCATTACACCCTCAACGCCACCATTCACGGTTTGTGAGGCATGCAGAAGATATGCTCAGTGTCTGACAGGTAGAAAGTATTTATTCAAGTTAAGTTTTGTGCATCACAACGTCTTCAAAAGCCCAAAAGCTACAAACAGTCAGTATTTGTTTTAAAGGAAAAGGCATCCAAAGAACTTTCTGCAACCTGATAGCTAGGATAGCGAACAAAGTCACAAGATCTTAACAGAGATCATTTCAACATTACATATTCTGAAGTGTATTTGAAGGGAGTGGGGGGAACCGTACTTTTTTCTCTATTAAAAAAGTAATATTTATGCAATGCATTACTGAAGAAGTTCTTTGGAGTGGAATTCATCTCCCCTGTTTTCCGTGTTCTGAAAGCTGTAGATAACTAAACTGGTTTGCTAAACTCAGAGGCGTGTTCTCTGCAGGTGTCTTCAAGTCAAGTTTTAGAGACCAGGCTTGCCAGGCCAACATGTCTGAACAACTGAAGTCAAGTGCACAACTCATCAGCCAATAATTAACTCCCACTGCAGTCCCTCCTTTTTTTTAACTATTTTAAAAAGTTAAAGCATCAAATCATGTCATCAACTTCCAACCTTAGGCCTCCACATTAAAGCCTTTTTCTTAATCTATCTCATAATGAAGAGGAAACCATTAGAAAGCTGAACATCACACAAAGAAAAACGTCACCTAACTGCCGTTGCAAGTAAATGGCATTTGGGGAGAAGAACCATTTTCTCCCACCCTGTACCACACCTTTTTAACCTCCAATGCACATAAAACCATCCTGAGGCAAAGTGCCCATTTACTACATGTTGTCACCTAACCGAAAAGTCACGCTGGCAGAAATTTTACCATTCTTGTTCTGATCGTGCAGCCCCTTACTGCTGACAGCAGAAACGCCCAATACAGGAGTGAATCAGGAGAGCTGAGGAACCCAGAGCCAGCAATAACAGGCAACAGGCAGGGTACTGACCTCCATGGGACTTGCTCATCTTGAAATTCACTCCCACTGTGTTCTTAGAGCTTGAATTTGTCAGTCACTTAAGCACTTTGTTGAACTGAGGCATGGGAGGAAAAGCAACAGAAATGGTGGTCAAGTATCAGGTGGATTTACATTTTAAGCCACAGCACAAGAGAGATTTGAAATTGATAATTTCTCTGTAAAAAGTTTTGCATAAGCTAAAAATAGCAGCTTACCTCTATTTAGTGATACTGTATAGGTAAAAGCTTCTCCATAAAATGGTTCTGCATAAAAATACAACATGTTTGGGAAAAAATATTGTGATAAGCTATTGTTTGAAGTATTTTTTCTCTTGCATTTTGAACTGTCCTGCGAATGGTTCACAAAATGCTTTAAAGCACTTAAAGCTGTACGGATAAGTGAGTATCTGCAATCCCCAACCCGAGTTTAATGGCTTGCTGATCAAAGAATAAATGCTTTTAGAACTTTTTAATCTACGAGAATCTAAACGGATACAAATGGTAGTCAGATTATTAGAACTGCGTGTGCATTAGGAAATACAACTGAATATAGATTTGGGAAACTGGTTTTTAATATTTATTTAGTAAAACTCATTATACAAACAAAAGTTACCACAACAGTGTAATATGCGGGTTTATAGTTGCTCCTTCCTTCAAGCTATTTCTTTGTTGCAGTAAAAACACATATAGACATTTACAATGATTTCCCTTTAAAGCACTGGGATTTCATATATTAAAACATACCTGGTAAAATAAGCTTAAAGTAATTTTACACTGCTTGGAAAAAGATTTGAGTAATTTACTCTTACCGGAGTGCCAATGTTGCACAGTATTCAAAAAAATGAACCATCACTAAAATATAGAGTAAAACATTTTAAAAGTACATTTATTTAAAATGTGGGCAAAATAGCAATATAAAAGAAAATAGAGTATAAGAAATAAAAATAAAGTACAAAACATTTTCATCTTCAACATCCATAATTTAATAGATAGCAAGCCCTTTTATTTTTACATCCAAATTATACTTTTGGCTGAAGTACCATCATTTACGGTAAAACGTTTAAAAACGGGCTAATCCTGATAGCTAAAGTGGGCTCTTCTAAAAGGGTAGTATAATACAAAACATAGTAAATTATGTTTCAGCATAATAAAATCACACATCCTAAAAAAGATGCAGTTTATTTTTGCTTTCCTGCTTTAAATTGCTCATCATCCCTAGGAAAACAGCTGGAAAAACAGCATCCACAGGAAGTATTTAGTTGCTCTGTACAATGGCTGAACAGCTAGAATTAATGCTCCAAGGATTCCGAAGCAGTAAGGCATCTTTCTATCCATCAAGTAAATTTATATGTACGCTTGTTAAGAAAGAACAACTTTAAGAATGGACTGCAAAACTGAACTTACATAAAAAACATGCATGAAGACACAGAACCCTTACTGGTCCTTCCACTGCATTTGTAAAACGGAGCTTTATACTGAAGGTTACAAACCATTTTCCTCATCTGCAAGTAACTCATGCTAAATATTTTACTTAGTGACAGGTTTTTTTCCCTGTTGCTTAATATGCTACTACTGTTACTTAATATTCTGACAACCCTGCCTCCCGCCTCTACTGAAGTATTTCCTATCAAAAGTAATTCCACTTTCAATTTAAGGTATGTTTCTGGGTGCTGAAACTACCTTCCTATCATGTAAATGTTACACATTTTAAAGATTATAAATAATTAGTTCGTAATTAAAAAAAACTTGTAGTATACCACACTTCCCAAAGCAGCAGACAGCGTTTACACAAAAAGGATATGATTCATAATCCAGTGTTTGAGTCAATACCCCAGTCAGGACAAACTCAGCATTGTGGACATCTGAAAATATCAAAAACATCCATAGAGTTTACACCCTACAAGAACATTCTTCCTCATTCTGTATGTCTGTCAGGAAGGGCCATTCTGTACCTTTCTGCTCTTCACATGGGCAGACAGGACAAGGGGTAACGGGTTTAAGTTGAAAGTGGGGAGGTTTAGATTAGATATCAGGAAGAAGTTCTTCATGGAGAGGGTGGTGAGGCACTGGAACAGGTTGCCCAGAGAAGCTGTGGATGCCCCATCCCTGGAAGTGTTCAAGGCCAGGCTGGATGTGGCTCTGAGCAACCTGGTCTAGTGGAAGGTGTCCCTGCCCATGGCAGGGGGGTTGGAACTAGATGGTCTTTAAGGTCCCTTCCAACCCAAACCATGCTATGATTCACACGAAGGCGTAAAGGAGGATTGACCCACCACTGGCAGGGCCTTACACAGCCACCACACACTTCACACTGCAAATACAGGGGATCAATAAATACAAGATGTCTTGGGGTTCTATACACTGAAGTAAAAATAGCTAAACTGAAAAAAAACCCAAAACTAACTAATTTGATGAATACTGAGCCAGAATAATCTTGCCTCATGCAGGACTGAAGCCCCAGGTTCAAGCCTGGGGTTCACAGGACGGACCATGTATATCTCCATGACTTTCTAAAAGCTTCAAAAGATGGCTGTGCTTATAAAATAAATAAAACCCCCACCCAAAATAACAGCTATACTGTTCAAATTACATTGGTGGCGTATACATACCTATGCCTCTTGCAAAATATTCTCGACACAAATGAAGGTCATTTTCACAGGAAATCAATATTATCTCCGGCAAACTCTAAAGAAAAGTAACTAATAGTGAGTTCAGATAAACACATTAAGATATCAACAGTAAATTTTAGAAAGCAACACTCTACACACTTTGTTCTGCTTATGCTCCATGAGTTTTCGAAAAGAAGGTTGCTTAGATAATACTTTTCCTCCTGCGCATTCCACAATAGATTTCATGGTGGAAAGACTGGGACAAATTCCAGGTGTAATGTAAAAATATTTTCCCTAAAAAGAGAAAAGAAAAAACATTGTTTTGTTAATCAATTTCTGCAACACAGTCAGTTTTATTGTCCTGTGACTCTCCCTGAAACAATCATGGGGCAGGCTTTGTAAACTGGTGTGAGGCATCACAGCTCGTGGTACCAAACTCATCATTGGCGAGTTGTCCTTAGTTACCACTGATGTTTTCCCTGGAGGGGCAACCCACAATTTTGATAAATTTGGACAGCTTAGGTGTGCCTGTTTGAACACCTGTAAAGTAACCAGGAAACCTTCAAAAACTATGTTTCAAGAAAATAATTAAAAGGTAACTGCAGTTCGGTAAGACATCAAGAACAACCAATGGTCCCTGCTTCTTCAAGCACAAGGACTTCAACTGTTGCAAGAGAACTTTCAGATTTTTAATTAATAGTCAGCTTAGTACTTGATCACAAAAATTACCCTACCACTTGTCTGAGACTGATACAGGTGATCAGAGCACAAAGTAGATTATTAGACTGCAAAACTGAGTGAAATGTAGTATTGAGACTTAATAAAATACATAGATTCTTATTCATTACAGGTTGCAAAAATACTCTTTTTAGGCAGTTTGCCTCAAAAAGAAGTCTCAACTTCAGTTAGGCTGCCCAGAGAAGCTGTGGATGCCCCATCCCTGGAAGTGTTCAATGCCAGGCTGGATGAGGCTTGGAGCAACCTGGTCTAGTGGAAGGTGTCCCTGGCCATGGCAGGGGTGTTGGAACTAGATGGTCTTTAAGGTCCTTTCCAACCCAAACTATTCTATGATTCTGTGAATCTCTAGCAACTTGGATCTTCAGAATGCCTCTCTGCACCGTACCATTTAACCAGAGGCATGAAAACCATCTTGCAGCATGCTCACCAACAGCCTGGTGGAAAATGCAGTCTTCAAGGAGAACCAGACTAGAACTCCCCGAGGCTGAAGTGGAAACACACTCTCAGCTCTCATTTTTATAGGCAAGTGCTTTGACTACCAAGCTGGTGTTAAAAAAACCACCCTTTTTAAAGAGTAGTATTTTACAAATAATGGAGCACGGTTCTCAATTTTTAAGGGAACAAATGCTGCTAAGTGTACTGAGCATATACTGAGAATGTCCTCTCACATCCACAGGATCCAGTCACTCAGAGCACTTAGATCCATCCCAGCAATGCTTAGGCAGGAAGTAAGCATAAAGTAAAAAATAAAATTATGACAAATGCTGCACATTATGTGCTAGTCTGTTTTATTGCCCTCAGCTACAAAAGCTGTGGTCTCAATGCTGAAAAATTTAGGTTGAAAAGCTTCAAGTTTTTCAATGCCCTTAAAAACCACATACCTTGAACAGTGGAGCTACTTGTGCTCTCTTCAGAGACTCCTCTAGACTGAAGCAGAATAGCACCTCAGCTTCAGCGTCTCTGAGCACAAAGTTCTGCTCATCTGAAAGAGAAAGGCTGAAGATGTAACTCACAGAAGAAAATCATCCGCGTAACCCAGGATGTGATCTGTTCAGAAAATGTTGGTGGGAGGGCGACTAAACAGTAAACACTCACTAATACTGCCTTTCATTAGGCATCTTACAAGGATGACCCAATTACTTACATAATAAAACTGGTGTGTATATTTTACACCTGTGTGTCTAGCGACAACCACTGTAAAGTCCCTTTTTCTAGCTCATTGGTGGAACTTGCAAACTTTTATTTGTTGCTTCTGTACAATGATTAAGTTTAAACCACCGTGACAGCCTGTGGAAGCCCAGAAACTATCTTCAACTCCTTATGCAGCCTTAACAGAGCAAACTTTCCATCTGTTTCCCTTGCCCTATTATTCTGCTGATTTTTCATATTTTTTTTCACTAGGGATGGAAGTTCAGTTTTAACTTATCTTTCCAGAGCTACAAACACATTTCTAAATCCGACTTCATTCAAAACACCTATGTTTAAAGTAAAAAAAAAAAAAAAAAAGAAGAATGAATTGGTGTTTCCAGGGAAAATTCAGACCACCTGTAAGAGATGATGTGAATACTCTTCCGAAAGACAAAGAAAACCAGTACGGCACTTTTTCTGAACAACTGCCATATCTTCCACCACTGTACGAGGTACAGAAGTGAAGGCAGCCCACAAGCTACGTATCGACTAAATTTCAGTAGACAAGTCCTAGACCCAAACAGCCATCCTTCTAAATCTCCAGCCCTTCTTATCTTGTAATAGCTTTCAAATGGATTCATTTCTCAGTTCACTGATGCTGAACCAAGCAAGTTTCCTTCTCCAGATTTATAAAAATATTTTCTGCCTTATTGGTTAATTACCCACAGTTTGACGTCTTTTTGATGGTTAGGCAAAAGCATTATATACTTGCTCCCTTCAAGCAAATTATATAAAAAGCATAAAACAACCATAAACCAAATAATAAGCCCTTAAAGAAGTTTTTCTTCAGATCCAACATCCTTGTCAAGTGGATTTAAACCATCCATTTATTTTTCTTTTCAGCTATCAACAGAAAAGCAATGCAAACACAAAGTCGATTTATTCAACACAGTTATGGGACTAGACTAATGAATTTTAATTGTTTAAATGCATTTTTGTATGTATGTCCAACAGTGGCTTACTTCTCTACAACTTGTATTTTAGAAAAATCATTGAAAACAAACGCATTTTGGGTTTAAAAACTGATGTAATTAAATCTGCAAATGGCTACACGAGAAAGAAATATAATGCTTACCAATACACAACTATTTAATCACTCTGAAGCAAACTTTTAAAGTATTTTTACTTCATTTAATTGAAAGAAACTGTATTAAATCAAATGAAAACAAAACAAAACGCTCTGTTGAAAAAGAACTTTAAAAATAATACGTAAGAAATTATGAGCTTTATTTAATGATACCAGCATGACCTTCCACCTCAAGTGGAATACAAACTAGCTGCTGGTATAATTGTTTAAACATACCATGAGTTATGAACTGTGCTAGTCAGGTTTGCTGTAAACTTGTAATTTCAAAACTGAATCCTTCAGAAAACTGGCAAGAGACACTAAAGTCAGAGGCCAACACAATGAAGTGCCTTTAAATATGCATGCCATCTTCACATATTACACCAACAAACCTTACGTTTCCTACAGAAGTTGATACCAGTTTAACTTACCAACAAACTTCTGGCATTTGAAACACTCTTCTAACCACTCTGGAGTTACTATGTGCTTGACTACAGAAATTGCTGTCAGGAACTTCACAGTTCGGGTCACTTTACTGGCAATTAGATGGGTGCATTTCTGGGCAGATTCTGCTACCTCACCTCCAAGGATATATAGTTTCTGAAAGTTGTACAAAACACAAATCAGAATGGAATAGTCCTTTAAAAACTGAAGGAAAAAAAAATGAAGAATCATAACATCACCATCAAATAAAACTATGCTCCTAATGAAACAGTAAATCTAGGAGAATTTGTTATTACAGTCATTCCTTTAGTAAAGCTGATTAAAGGATGCAATTTAGAACACTGAAAATCCAGTTTATTTCCAGACATTCTGCTTCTGCAGCTTTTGTGGGTTTGTTGAGGCTTTTTTTGAGCAAGGAAATAACTATAAGATATATAAATTAAATCTTTCTAAGTGAAACATGCTATAAAATTTATGTAAGCAGAAAATTTGTTCATTTTACTCCTTTCTGTGGAAGGTGTAATATAACCTGTATGTAGCTACAGCAGAATTACTTTTGCTAGTCTTGAAGAGAAAAGCATCTCATAAAAAACACGTTATTTTTTAAATACACTAGTTTCACATGCATTTTTAATGATCATAAGTAACTCTCTGGTTTTCCTTGGTTTAAACTACCAAACCCAAACTAAGTCTCCGCAGTTGCCATCTTGACAGTTAAGGTACAAGTCATTATCTGAAGGGATTAGTGATACAACTGATCAACTGGTGAGGCGTATCAGATATTACAGGTGTCAGTTACAAACAGTGCTTCCTCCCATAGAAATTTAAAGAATGAAAAAAATATTTGGACAGCTTTATTGCCTACACACCATGGATTTCTGATTTTCTACCACAAGCATTTTGTATGAATAAATAAAAACCCTACAAATGTATTTGAATATAAATATTTAACATATCAGGGTGATTTCATTAGATAAGTCACCAGGCGTCACCCAAGTGAGGAGGCCTACTGGGTTGTTAGAAGCCCCGAAAGATCTCTGGCACCCCTCTGTACTGCTTTGATAATAATGAAGAAGTAGGATAAACGGGGACAATGTTCTAAGCTTTTCTTTACCATGCTGGCTCATTCCAATGGTTTGCATAAAGATGATACACAAAAGTATTATTTAATGAGACTGAACCTCTCTAGTCTTTATTTCCTTCGGGTTATGTGCAGACACATTGTGAGTAGTACACCTGTACACCTATGAAAGGCAAAGGCTGTTATTTCCATAGTTAACACACGTTCACCTCAAGCACAGTAAACCTGTGAGTGTGGCTCTTGTAAGTCTGACCTTCAAGGAACCCTTTGGGCATACAAAAAAAGACCAGCCCTCTACCTCAAGAAGATGGGAAGTATCCAGCCTCAGCTAAGTATCCAGACTCTGAATGGTCTTGATGATATCCTCACTGCCAAGTTTAGATTCAATTTCACCTGCCTAGAGGCTGAAGTTAATTTTTAGTATTTGTGAGCCACAGCGGATACCGAAACAGATACTCCATATAATAAACGTGCTACCAACATGACAGAAAACGAGGGGCTGACAAAGGAACTTTATGGGATATACTAAAACATATTTCAAGTTCCAAAATATTTAATATCCAGCTTCAAATGCAAACACTGCAGGGGAAAAAACTCCAAAGTTTGTACTGCTTTAAAAACAAGTTTAGGTGTAATAAAGAAGACATTGGATATTTTTAAGCACACTGAGGAGGTCTCATTTGCTTTCAGTTAGCTGGAGCAGGCATCAGTGGCAGCATCTTTTACGCACTACTGAGGTCAGCAGTTAAAAAAACTCTGTACCTCAAACCTGAGCTAACATGGGACAAACATAAACAGAACGTTCTTTTGTAACAAATATTTACTGGTAATTAAGGTTGAAGGAGTGATTGGATTTTTATACCACCAAAGGATGTTATGAATTATTTAGAGTTAAGTTTTGGAAGAGCTTTATTAGGGAACAGAACAAAATCTCCATGGGAACTTACTATCTCACACCTGCCATAAGCTTTGTCATCAGCTTTCTTTTGACATTCCACAAACAACTACACTAGAAGAGTTTTGGGTCTCATCCAGTACAACCATCACTACTTCTCTCACCTAAATTTGGTCATGAAGTTTGTTGATTTAAAAATAAATGCCGAAGGGGCCTTCTTGCTTTTTAAATAATCATATGGAAAGAACAAACAAGTAGCACAGAAGCATGAAGTAGTTCACTAAAGCAGAACAGTTACTAAATAACACTCTTTTCACATAAATCTACACTCTAACCTTAGCCCCAGCACATGCAGTTCACAAGAGAGAAGCATGAAAGTCACCTTAATGTACTGTTGAACTTGCATAGGTTCAAATCCTGTGAAGAGCACCATTGGTGTCAATTCTGGGGTGAGCTTTTTAGTAGGTGGTGGTAGGTCTTCAATCCTACAAAACACATGAAATACAGCAGAATGTAACGTTTGGGCCCAAAGTTGTATAATTTTAAAACTAGACAAGCACGCTCTTGCAACTTTTACCAATGGAAGTACTCAGGTGAATGAGAATTAGGCAGGATCAATCTTCTTCTGTAAAAAAAAAAATCATTATGCTAAGAACAGGACATTTTCTCCTGCTTCTGTTCTTCTGACTCTCTTACTACTTCACTCCAGTATTATCTTATTCCTGCCAGTTGAGTAGCTGGCCATATGCAAATAATGTCAATAATTACTTCAATCCACAGGGCACAAGTTGGAACCAGGCTGATGGCCAGCTGACACTTCCGTGGGAAAGTAAATTAAGGACTGCAGGCACTGATTGTTCACTATTCTTACCTTGCCCTTTTGGAAGATGGCTGAAGGCTGGATTCATTTTGCTTTGGTTTCAAAGGCAATCTCACACCCTGAAATTAGATCATCCACATGTTTATGTCTGAATTGAGTAAGGAAACCAACTTCTGTTCTGAAAGAGGAAAACTATCCACCGATATTCTGACACTATTAAAGAAAACTAAACACAAATGACAGAGACACTACTGAATGCATGCTGGTGCACCTGTTCTTACACAACTGACTTTAAGCAAAGCTCTCCACAAAGTTATGGAACCATTTAAGTGTACACCAAATAAAATATTGTGGGATTTTTTTTTCCTTTAAATAAAAATGATAATCATCAATATAAGGCCCAAAGAATTAAATGAGAGACTGGAAAACTTTGTCCATTTGTTAAATACATGCACACCAAATAAAATACTGTGGGATTTTTTTTTCCCTTTAAATAAAACTGATAATCATCAATAGAAGGTTAAAAGAATTAAATGAGAGACTGGAACTTTGTCCATTTGTTAAATACATGAAGACTACAATATTCTATCAGGTGCTAAAATATCAACAGAAAATACTGTCACTTGCATTTTAAACACTCAACTTCCCTAGCTACATAAACAGAAGCTCCAGTGGATGCTCAAGTGCTCACTGGACTCCCCAGTACTAGATCAGCCACTACAGCATTTGCCCAGGAGTAGAGAAATGTAGAGTTTTTAGGTTCTCCCTGGCCTAAGTAACCTGAAATCACAGCTCTCACTTACAGGAGCATGCAACATCTACTCCCTTTTTAACCTTCAAACCTACACCTGAAATTTAAATGAGGAATGCCAGAGGCACATGACCAGAAAGAGAGGCAGCCTCGCTGTGAGGATGGTCCTTTGGGAGGAACATGCCACGGGGGTTTGTTCCCTGCCCACAGGGACAGGCGTTTTTATGCTAGACAATCATTAGTAAGGGCAGCTGGAAAGAAAAGTGCACGTACTCACTTTCTGACAGACACTTCAACTATGAAAATGCAAAAGGTAGATAGCATCAACGCCATCTGACAGACAGCTCTCCTCAAAGAGGACCCAATACTTCAAATCCCAAGGCAAATAGAAATGCCTGCTGTGAAGGCAGTGAAGTGCCTCGTCTGACACTTCCACATGCCTGGCATTTTCTATTGCCAAACCATATTCTTCATACGTGGGTACCCTGAGCGCAGCTGGACAAGATTACCTCCACAAGTCCCTTTCGACCTATGTATGTAAGATTCTCACTTCAAATGGGCAAGAAGGGTCCCCATTTAGTAAATACAGAAAGGGAGGTACTACTTTAGGCTTTCTGACCCCTGAGTTCTCTCCATTTCCTACGTAAGACAAAGCACAGACCAGAGCACCACCTGGTCTGAGTCACACAAAGGCCCAAGTTAAAGATAAGCTCAACTGCAGTGTGGACACAAAGGATGGTAGTAACAAACCCCAAACTGGGTTAGTTAAATGCTATTTTAAATACTAATGCTGCATCCTGAATCTCTTAAAGCAGTTTTTATTTTGCCACTAGTAGAATGCACACTTCTTCAGGAAAATGAAGTATACGTATTTTGAAAGGCAGTTAATTTCCTAAAAATTAGTTTCATGCAGGCCCACATAACAATTCAACAGGGGTCTAAGAGTAGAAGAACGTTTCAGACTTATGGCCAGGGATATAGTAGTGGCTATTTCTGAAGCGGAAAGGTATTAAAACAACAAATAGTGCCCATACCCCATTTAAAGTATTTATACAAATTAAGTTATGACAGTTATTAAGCTCTTCTCTGAACAGTATGCAAAACAGCTGAGATAAGAAGTGATCCGGAACACAAGACGATACTGTGCAACATAAAATATCATCTGACAGTCACCTGTTGTACAAATGAACTGCAAGCTCACTAGCTCAAAGTGGGATTTACCTATGTCAAGGCAGACACTGTGAAAACAGTTATCAAGTATAAATCTGAAATGGAGAGATAATTTTCAACACAGAAACTGAAATAGTTTTCTACATGGAACAAGGAAACAGCTCAGAAGGGAAACTGCAGTTTGACCTCAGCTCTCACACCTGTCTCATGTTTTGCATGTTTCACAGAAAGATGAAAGCTAAATGTTTTATATCTTTTTTTAAGGCACAGCCTTCATATCCTTGCTGTTGTTCATTTACCCTGCTGGTATTTCCAGGGTTATCAACTACACTTTCTAAAGCAAGATGTATTTTTAAATTATAAAATATATGGTATATATGCCCATGCTTTTAGTTCTTCCAGTATTTCAAAGAGATGAGATCAAGTAATTCCACCCCTAATTTACATCATCTATCCTACTTAAAATTTAGTCAGCATTCTAACAAAATTTGTCCTGATATTTTTTAGCCTTAAAAACCATTACGTGGCCTGATCTTCACACAGTGTTGTGCTGACTCAAAAAATACTAAGCCCTTTCTAAAGGTGTGATGTAAACCTGGAGAAGCACTAGCCCAACATGTTTCAAAAATAACTTGATTTTCTTATAACAGTGCAGGTTCTTAGCTCTGCAGAAGATCTTTAATTTGAGAAATCTGAGAAATATAGAGAACACTATACAGAAGTACAGCCAAGAGGTTCAGTTCGGGTCTGCCTAAGTCTCTCTGGCCTGTTGCTCACACCATATACATGCATGTTCACACATTAAAAACATTAAAGAGTAACCATCTAAAACAGCTGTATGTTTACACAATAATTCAGCATACCATTAGAAGTTCTGCTGAGACCTTTAATGGGACTCTCCAAGCATCTAGGAAATGAAGAACAAAACAAAACTGAAACCAGTGTGGAGTTATTTATAATAGAAGACATAGAATCATAGAATGGTTTGGGTTGGAAGGGACCTTAAAGAACCTTAAGGTTCCAACCCCCCTGCCATGGGCAGGGACACCTTCCACTAGACCAGGTTGCTCCAAGCCTCGTCCAGCCTGGCCTTGAACCCTTCCAGGGATGGGGCATCCACAGTTTCTCTGGGAAACCTGTTCCAGTGCCCCACCACCCTCTCCGGGAAGAACTTCTTCCTGATATCGAATCTAAATTTCCCCACTTTCAATTTAAACCCGTTACCCCTTGTCCTGTCACTACAGGCCCTTGTAAAAAGTCCCCCCCAGCTTCCTTGTAGCCCCTTCAGGTACTGGAAGGTGCTATAAGGTCTCCCCGGAGCCTTCTATTCTCCAGGCTGAACAAGCCCAACTCTCTCAGCCTGTCCCCATAGCAGAGGTGCTCCAGCCCTCTGAGCATCTTCGTGGCCTCCTCTGGACTTGCTCCAACCGAGCAAGTACTTCCAACATGTGCTTCTATTGATTACACAGGTACATACATAAATACTACAGAACACCGAATTTGGGGACGGAAACTCTTACCCAAAAGGTTTAGAACTAGATGTTGACTGGGAGAAAGTGGATCTTGAAGACTGAACACTGTATACCGACTGTGCTGTATCTGCCGTAAGGCTTCAAAATTTCCTAGCAGTATGTCACAGAGCCACTGCGCATTTACACATGGTATTCTCCACTCTTTAGCTTTCTCATACTTCAAACCACTGGGCCTTATTGTTCAGAGATGAAGAAAGACACATATTTCAATAAAACTGGTAAAATAACAATTTCTAATAATAAATCTAAAATACCAATATTTCTGTATTGGCCTACTATCTACTTTGACTGTGATAAAAGTAGATACTCTTTTCTTTAAAAGAAAAAATACTTTTGCTTTATGTGCTAGAACACGTTAATTAAGGGAGCATTTCTGCCCCAAATGGAATCAAGTCAGACCTGGATTTAACTTAAATTTTCCCTCCTCCAACGTTTCAGAACAATTATTTTTAAAAAGCTATTTTACTTTGAGATGTAACATTCGGCACCATTTATAAAACACTGTAAAACAATGGAATTAGAGATGACTTCTGTCTCTCTTGAGAAGGCCAAATTTATCATGTAACGGTGCGCAGTACTGTAGTTCAAGGAACTTCATCACGGAGTTTATTGCCACCAGATCACAAACTTGATTAAAATGAACACTCTTAGAATGAGATGTAACTAGCAGCTCACATTAGGAAAAGCACTAACTGGCCATAGGCAGCGGAGAACGCAAGTACTGCAGAGACAATCACTTACTCTTTACAGATGAGAACTGTATTGCTGCGACACAGATAGCCTGTGTACTTGGCACCTGCTAGGTAGGCCATTAGTTTGAGGTCATCTCTGTCACTGTCAACAAATCCTGTCACAGAGATTATCTACAGACAGAAAGAGGCAGTTACAGATACTGAACACAGATGGTACAAAATGCTCCTGTCGAAAATACACTTCTATTACCAACTTTTTAACATAACACTGAAATACACAGTATTGTATCTATGGCATATAGACAATTAAAATGTGGCCTGTAGGATACATGAAGTAGAATTTAGGTGCGATTTGTTTATACAGAAAAATTTCAGGGTTTTAGCACTAGTTCTGACTCAGGAAGTATAATTTTCATTCTGCTGGTCAGCTTTTTCTCATTTACAAAGCCAACAGCTTTACTATGAAAGAGCTCACAGCTAGTTTTCTTCTTGCTCGTCTCAACTCTTTCTTCAGCTGCTGTTTACACTCAGGGACACAGAGAAACACACTTACTTGCTCTGCTTCAAAAAAATCTTGTGAACGCTCTGCTCTACCCTGCCTTGAAGCCAAATAAACTGGTCCTGCTGATCCTAGGTGACAAAATATAATTCCACCTCTCCCTTTCTTATCCTTAGTCTTGCCAAGTTTCCATTTCTGCCATTCTCTCCTTTTATTTAGGAAAAGGAAACATCAGTGGTGCTGGAACTATACTTAATATATTAGATGTTACATTTACTACTAATCACTGTGTTTACATGCATACTGCTACATTCTGATTTTCCTACACCTGTTTTTTATGACTTTCAGAACAGGCTAGTAGCAAGGCCACCATCCTGTATGTCTGCAAGCAGCAAAGAAATCCAATGCCAAGATGTACTTTGGCATCTTGTTTCATGATGCACAGTGTATTTCAAGATGCAGCTGATTCAATGGCAAGTTTATGTTCCACCCCTACAAAATTCGGTTTCCCCAGTGCCCCACATCACTCCAAACTTTGACCTCCTATTCTCTGATTAACAGCACAGGCTTCCTTTTCTGACACTTTGCTACGTATTGATCCAGAAAAAGAAAAACCCTCGAAAAATCTCCTCAAAATTGTGGGTTGTGATAAAGGAAGCATGTACCGTTGGACAAGCTGTTAGTAAAAAACTACACAGCTTGGATTCCCGTCCTCTTGCTATGTAGAGCTTATGTAATCTTTGCACCTCAGTTTCTAAGAGAGTAATTCACTAATGTGGGCATTAGTCCTCACCACTCAGAACACGGCAAGACCTGCAAAGCACTCTGGATCACCCACAGAATGCACCACACCAACACAGGACCTTAAGACGAACGGAAGCTTTACTTCTGAGACAAAAGAAATGTGTATTTTGTGTTGAGTAATCACTTTCTAGCTATTTTTTAACACCGCTCTTGTAATGAAGGAAGCATTTGTTAGAAGCAAGCTTTTTCTCCTTACGTGTTGAGAGCATGGCTTTCCTCCCGGTGGAAATGCCACTGGAAAATGAAGGGCTCGATGAGGTGGTACCATTTTCTTCTTCTTCAAGATGGAGTTCAGCCAATGTGCTGTAATACATCGCTTCCTTTCCCTTAAAGCCTATGAATAAACGCATCAACAGCTTTTAAAAAGCAAAATGCATCTTTATTTTATTTTAAATTTTTTCTACAAGACAAAGCTTCTATTTTAGTAATTTGTTTTCTCTACTCTTTCAGGATCCTTCTTCCCATAGCATCTTCCTCAGTGTTATCTGGAATAAATCTACTATAGGAATGTGCTGGGTTCAGTCAGGAAAGAGTCAGCTCTCTTTACTGTGGCTGCTATGAAGCTGTGCTCCTGGATGCAGCGAGCAGCACTGATAAGGTCTCAGCTGGCGCTGGGGAATGCCTGCACCAGATTCAAGGTCTTTCTCCGCTTCTGATCCTGCAGCTGCGTTCCCAGCTCTCGCTGTGTCGCTACAGGCAGTGCTGGGACACACAGATCAGGCACCTGACCCAAACTGACCAAGAAGTATTTCATTCCACAGTACGTCATGTTCGGGGCAGAGGCGAGGAGGGGGTCCGGGAGCCATTACTCCTTCTCTCTCTCGTTCACTCACACAAACCTGTTAACCCTCTCCCTGACTCC